GACTCCAGTAACTGTAATAAACTGTTTACTCTAAGGTCTGTGATGAGAACATGTGGCCCTGATTTAGGGTTAGAAGGAAGGAGTTTAACCTTAAATGAAGGAAAGGGTTCTTAACTGTTAGAGCATTAAAAATGTGGAATTCCCTTCCCCAGGAAGTGCTACTAGCTCAAATTGTCAATAACTTAAAAAAAAATTTAGATGTCTTCCAATGTAAGCAGAATATACAGGACCATAGGACCATGGGACATGTTAGAGAATAAAAATAAAATAAAAATAAAATTCATAGAGGGTAAACTAGATGGACCTGTGTTTTTTTTCAATCTTATAAACTATGTAACTATATAACTTCAAGAAAAACAAGAGACAATTATATTTTTTTATGAGCTGAAGTTTATTAAATGAGGAATACAAGGAAACAGCAGAGAATCTAATGCAATTGATATTGTCTGATTACCAATGCTTGCCCAAGAAAATTCTTCTAATTTTCTCATGTAATAAAGCCAAATAAAAATGAAAAAACTGTGATGTATTTTTTATCTTTTTTTCTTTTGGATGTTTTGAAAGTTTTAAGTGTCTGCTGGCAGTGATAGCAAATGTGTTGAATAGTTTTTAATAATAATAATAGCATTTTCTGCAAAAGGGAATTTGTAAGTTATCTAATTATGAGTATGTTTCAGGGAAATCTATACAATTAACATTTTTCAGGGCAGTTTGATGATAACTGTAACTGGCCATCTAACATTCATTATTTAAGACAGGATAGGTTAAGCAAAAAAAGGTAAAGTGGTAATGTGAAAGAGAGGTCTAAAGTATTAGTTTAGATCTTCCTTGAACTGGAGGAGCTTGTTGAGGTGGTTCTTGTTATAGTAGTTGAGCTTGAGCTGGTTCCTCCAGTGTATCCTCCACCAGAGCTGGTGTATCCTGCACCAGAGCTGTTGTATCCTGCACCAGAGCTGGTGTATCCTCCACCAGAGCTGGTGTGTCCTCCACTGGAGCTGGTGTGTCCTGCACCAGAGCTGGTGTATCCTCCACCAGAGCTGGTGTTTCCTGCACCAGAGCTGGTGTATCCTCCACCAGAGCTGGTGTTTCCTGCACCAGAGCTGTATCCTCTATTAGCAGTACTGCTGCTGGAGCTTGCACCAACTGAGCTAGTGAAGCGGCTACCGCTCATGCCTCCGCTGACACTTCCTGTTCCGAAACCAGCTCCAGAACTCATTCCACTGTCACCGTGGAAGCCACCATGAGAGCCACCGTGGGAGCCACCTGTGTTGGAAGCAAAGGATCCTCCGATGCTAGATGAGACAACAGCTGTGTGGAGAGGATTTTATAATAAGTCATCACTAAATGAGGACAATAACCTGCATAATAGGCATTAGTGAAATTAACTGAAATGAAATTTAAACTACTTACAGATTTTAACTGATCCTGCACATTCTCCAGAAAGCCTGAAAATAAACATGTACACTTTAGTGTTACACCAGGAAAATGGACTTCATACAGTATATATAATTAGTACTTTTAATAAGGCATTTATTTTCCATAACACATTTGTGTTGCTACTAAGCTGGCATCCAACTTTTAGGGGCCTATTTATAAAGTAATGGATGTGGAATTTGCCATCCACAGGTGGTAAATTATTCCTTCTAATCTAAAACATATGCACCAGACAGATTAATCTGCAGTGAATATTTGGTGAATGTCACATTTACTGCTTTACCAATATGCCCCCTAGACTTTAACGTGACTGTTGAGCTTTATTTAAGTTAAAATTTTAAAAAGATGGTTTCTGCACAGAGCCACCCCTTACCTCCTCTCCTCGAGTTCTCCACCCCCCTACCCCCGGGTGCTTTCTGCTCCTCCTCTCCTGCATGTGCCCCCATAGCAAGCTGTGTACTATGGGGGCACATGTGTGGACATGCTCCTTAGCCAGACTGTGCGAGTTTATATACACACATAGCATGGCTCGGCCACACCTCCTGCTCCCTCCTCACAGGTTTTGACTGACAGTAGCAAGAGCCTATGGCTTCTGCTGCTGCCTGATGCTCCTGTGAGAAGAGTGGAGAAATGAACTGCAGTTGTGCACAGTGCTGGATAAAGAGAGGACTCAGGTAAATTATTTAGATTACCTGAAACCACATGGTCCCTCCTATGGCCCCTCCTGAACACCTAGATACTCTTACTGTATCTAAGAGTTCAGGAGGGACAACATGGTTTCATATTGTCTTGAGCCTCTATATTCAGGGACAATGAGGAAACTACAGAAGTACAGCCACACTATCAGACCCCTCAAACGCAGTGATCAGCAGCGGCAGCCTATATATTCTCCCAATATGATTATGGGAGTTATGCACTCACCGGCACTCTTCTCCTTCCAGCAGTTTCTTATAAGCAGCAATTTCAAGATCCAGAGCCAATTTGGTGTTCATCAGTTCTTGATATTCCTTCAGCTGACGAGCCATGTCCTGCTTGGCCTTCTGTAATGCGTCTTCCAGATCAGCCAATTTACTTCTTGCATCCTTAAGAGCCATCTCACCACGTTCCTCTGCGTGTGCTATGGCAGATTCTAGTTTTGTTCTCTAAATGAAACCGATAATAATGAATATAATGATATATAATGCATTTGGTGTTGTTTGCATTAATATTCAGTTTAGGCCATATCTCATAACAGAATGATTTATATTATGGAATAATGTGAAAATCCTGCCATACCTGAGCTTTAACATTTTCAATCTCTGATTTGATTCTTTGGACAGCTCTGTTGAGATCAGCAATTTCATTCTTTGTGCTGCGCAGGTCATCGCCATGTTTTCCTGCTGTATTCTTAAGCTCGTCATACTGTAGAGAATAGTTTGACCAAATTAAAAAGTAACAAATTGTTGGTTTGAATGTGTTACTGAATACATGACATGTCAGTTATCTGCACACTGTAAATAAAACTGGATAACATATAAAACTTTGCAGTCTAACAATATTGTTCTGTGCTTTTCTTGTGGCAGCTTACTTATGGCAATTACATTGTCTAGGATATACTTACTTTGGACTGGTACCAGGATTCTGCTTCAATTCTGCTCTTGTTAGCAATCTCTTGATACTGAGCTTTGATCTCATGGATGATACCCTCCATGTCCAAGTCACGGCTGTTATCCATGGACACAATGACAGAGGTGTCTGAGATCTGTGACTGCAGTTGACATATTTCCTGTCAAAGAAAAAAAAATGGCAGTTAGACCTTCCATTTGTAAAATATCTTGGATAAATGTTCATATGTTAATATTTTATTCTAAATTAACTTCAGTAAAGTTGTGGATTTCATTATCGGAGATAAATGATACCCAGTGAACCATATGCAGCTGTCTTTAATGCTGCAATTTTTGTCTGAGATCATCTATTGCATGTCTATAAATATATGTACTGTATAACCTTAACTTTAATCAAAATTTATACAATTATTAATACATTTTCTCCATACAGCAACATAGTGAACCTAAAAATGGAAGACTTTTGTTATAGAGAACATCTAGAAATATTAACAGTGTCTAAGCAGTATCCTGAAAGGTTTGCCTTTTGTTTTAAAAATAGCAGTGCAATTTCTTTTTATAGGCATTCCTATTCCTTAAACATGGTAGCTGTATATCTGCTGCATGAGAGTCACTACTGCATCTGACTGCTTGTCTCATGAAATATGAATACAATTTGGTGGTATCACTACTTGCTGGAGAGAAAACTGTCCTACATAAGGATCTGTGTTTCATGCATCAGCTTGCTTCTGCTTTATTTTTTCCATGAATCAGTGCTACTAAGGGGAAGCTCTGACATGAAGAATCAAAGCCATACTCCTCTGCCAGGATTGCTCCCTCCACACAGAGGCATAGTGTGAAATAAGAAGTTCTAAATTAGAAATGGGGAAAACAGCAGCTGCAAGGAGTCTACAGGCAATAATTGTGACCTGTCCTTTACCTACTGCTTGCCTTTTTTGAGCACAGCTTTCACAGGTCTGGTTCTCTTTTCACGTGTTTTGCATGCTGAGAATGTGTCTTAGGTTTTGAAACTTTTCTGAGATTCTGTACTAAGGTTGTTACTTACCAAATCATACACTGTCCTTAGGAAGTTGAGTTCATCATTGAGAGAATCAACCTTAGCCTGAAGTTCAGTCTTGTTCATAAAAGCTGCATCAACATCCTGTAAAAGATATTGTGACCACAGTTCAGCAATACATTTACTGAAGTGCTTGTGTTACATGCCTGAATAATAAAAATGACATGCCTTTTTAAGTACCACAAATTCATTTTCTGCAGCTGTACGCTTATTGAGTTCATCTTCATATCTGGAAATACAAGTAAACACAAACAATTGTGAAATATTTTCACAGTGTCTTACATCACCATTAAGATTTTTAATGTAGACATGTAGATCATCATACTTCTTTTTAAATTCCTCTACTAAATCCTCCATATTCTTTTTGTCTGCTTCTAAACGTGACCTTTCATTGTCCAAACAATCAAGTTGCCTCCTAAGATTGGTAATGAAGGATTCGAAAAGTGGCTCCATGTTACTTTTCACAGTCTTTTGGTCTTTCAGAAAAGCCCATTTTGTCTCCAGCATCTTATTTTGCTGTTCTAAGAATCTAACCTATGGGATTCAAACAAAATAATTTGATCATTTGCTTAGCAATGTTTAGAAGTGTAGCTATAAAAATACACTAAACAAAGAACAAATGTTACAATTATATAATAAATAAATAAATAAAAATATATTATTTTATTATGCATATGATCTGAGCCAATATTTCTCACATAAGTACATAGCAAATTCTGACACATAAATAACCTTGAACTCAGTATACTGTACCTTGTCAATGAAGGAGGCAAATTTGTTGTTCAGGGTTTTGATTTGTTCTTTCTCTTCTTTCCTGACTTTCTGAATATTTGGGTCGATCTCCAAATTGAGGGGTGCCAGCAGACTTTCATTGACAGTGACTTTTGTGATGCTGGGTGCTCCACCACAACCAGCTCCACCAAAGCCAGCACCTCCAAAGCCACCTCGGCCAGAGCTGGATCCACCAAAGCCATATCCAGATCCCATACTGGATCCAAAACTACCGCCATAACTTGCCCCACCATATCCATATCCAGTGTTATGACTTGCAACTGAAATCTTTGGAGATCGTCCAGAACCAACATTGTAAGCACTTCTGCTGTATTGTGATTGCATCTTTGACCCTACGCTGGCAATTCTTGAAGAGTAACCACCTTGCTTATTTCTTGGCAATGAAGAAGAGCTAAAATTTTTGTAGCTAGAGCTACTGTGGTTGAGTAGACAAGACATGGTGAGGTACTGGATGCAGCACAAATACAAGAAGATGATTCTGAGTTACAGACACAGTCTTCTTTTATATTTTGACAAATGGGTTTGGCAGTACTTTGCAATGAAAAAATACCCTATAATTGTATTTTATTAGCTTAATTTACTGGCAGGGCATTTTCAGAAAACACCTTCAAATGTGCAAACTATGAAAAACAATTATTGTCGGTTATTCTACTACCTATAAAAGAAAGGCTCTAATTTAGGCCAAAGGTATAAGGATTAATTATAAAGAATCCAGCGATGTCCCAATGAAAATTTTTATGTGGTATGGCATGTGTTAGCTTACTATATTATTTTCAGGTTTACTTTTTGTGTCACACATTTCCAAAATGTTCTTAAAAAAACGACATAAACTTTTTTTTAGTAGGTTCACCTGTCTTTATAAACAGATCTGTGGTTGTGCCTGTTATTGTTCTACTATTACTGCTAGCAATGTACAGAGGGCAAAAAAGTATTTAGCCAGCCACCAATTGTGCAAGTTCTCCCACTTAAAAAGATAAGAGAGGCCTGTAATTGGCATCATAGGTAGACCTCAACTATGAGAGATAAAATGAGAAAAAAAAATCCAGACAATCACATTGGCTGATTTGGAAATAATTTATTTACAAATTATGGTGGAAAATAAGTATTTGGTCACCTACAAACAAGCAAGATTTCTGGCTCTCACAGACCTGTACCTTCTTCTTTAAGAGGCTCCTCTGTCCTGCACTCATTACCTGTATCAATAGCACCTGTTTGAACTTGTTATCAGTATAAAAGACACCTGTCCACAACCTCAAACAGTCACACTCCAAACTCCACTATGGTGAAGACCAAAGAGCTGTCGGAGGACACCAAAAACAAAATTGTAGACCTGCACCAGGCTGGGAAGACTGATTCTGCAATAGGCAAGCAGCTTGGTACAAATCAACTGTGGGAGCAATAATTAGAAAATGGAAGACATACAAGACCACTGATAATCTCCCTCGATCTGGGGCTCCACGCAAGATCTCACCCCGTGGGGTCAAAATGATCACAAGAACGGTGAGCAAAAATCCCAGGAGCACACGGGGGGCCTAGTGAATGACCTGCAGAGAGCTGAGACCAACGTAACAAAGGCTACCATCAGTAACACACTATGCGGCCAGGGACTCAGATCCTGCAGTGCCAGACGTGTCACCCTGCTTAAGCCAGTACATGTCCGGGCCCGTCTGAAGTTTGCTGGAGAGCATTTGGATGATCCAGAAGAGGATTGGGAGAATGTCATATGGTCAGATGAAACCAAATTAGAACTGTTTGGTAGAAACACAACTCGTCGTGTTTGGAGGAGAGAGAATGCTGAGTTGCATCCAAAGAACACCATACCTACTGCGAAGCATGGGGGTGGCAACATCATGCTTTGGGGCTGTTTCTCCACAAAGGGACCAAGACGACTGATCCATGTACAGGACAGAATGAATGGGGCCATGTATCGTGAGATTTTGAGTGCAAACCTCCTTCCATCAGCAAGGGCATTGAAGATGAAACGTGGCTGGGTCTTCCAACATGACAATGATCCCAAACATACCGCCCGGGCAACGAAGGAGTGGCTTCGTAAGAAGCATTTCAAGGTCCTGGAGTGGCCTAGCCAGTCTCCAGATCTCAACCCCATAGAAAACCTTTGGAGGAAGTTGAAAGTCCGTGTTGCCCAGCGACAGCCCCAAAAACATCACTGCTCTAGAGGAGATCTGCATGGAGGAATGGGCCAACATACCAGCAACAGTGTGTGCCAACCTTGTGATGACTTACAGGAAACGTTTGACCAACATAACAAATATGATATATAACAAAGTATTGAGATGAACTTTTGATATTGACCAAATACTTATTTTCACCATAATTTGCAAATAAATTCTTTCCAAATCAGCCAATGTGATTGTCTGGATTTTTTTTTCTCATTTTGTCTCTCATAGTTGAGGTCTACCTATGATGCCAATTACAGGCCTCTCTCATCTTTTTAAGTGGGAGAACTTGCAGAATTGGTGGCTGACTAAATACTTTTTTGCCCCACTGTATGTTTTACTGTTATGGTTCTTCCATTATAACCGCTTCCCATCTGCCCTATAGCAAAAGTACTGTTAAAGGGCGGCACGAGTGCGCAAAATAAGGTATATATACAGGATTTTGCATTTCTGGGTAGGGGGAGCATGCGTTGTCAACTACCAGGTCCTGGCTGGTGATCATTCGCCGGAGCCCGGTGATTGCCGAGCATCTCCGACAGGAGGGAGAACTGTTTGTGAACAAAACAGTTCTCTCCCCTGTCAGCTCCTGCACACTGCCATAAGCACAGCCATGCAAAGCAGTGTGCTTACAGTGAAGCACAAACACAGCCCAGTATGGAAAACAGCATACAGCACACAGTTAACCCTTTGATCGCCCCATATCTTAACCCCCTTCCTGCCTAGTGCCATTAGTACAGTGTCAGTGCTTTTTATTGGCACTAATCACTGTTTGGTTGGTGTCACTAGGGATGTCAGTGACACCAAGTCAGTTTCCCTTCAGTGTCAGAATGCCCGCCGCAGTACCACAGTCCCGCTATAAGTCGCTGATTGCCGCCATTACTATTAAAAATAATAGTAAAAAAACAAATCCCAGTATATATACTGCCATTTGTAATCACTCTAACTTTCACATAGACCAATTAATTTTACACGTATTGGGATTGTTTTTAGCAGAGACATGTAGCAGAATACATTTTGGCCTAAATTTATGATAAAATTAGATTTTTTACATTTTTTTACTGGACATGTTTAACAGCAAATTGTTTTTTTTCTTAAAATTGTTTTTTTTTTTTATAGTGCAAAAAATAAAAAAAAGGCACAGGTGATCAAATACCACCAAAATAAAGCTCTATTCATGGGGAAAAAAGGACATAAATTTCATTTGGGTGCAGCATTGCATGACTGCGCAGTTATCAATTAAAGTAACGCAATGCCATATTGCAAAAAATGGCCTGGTCAGGAAGGGGGGTAAATCCTTTGGAGGGCAAGAGGTTAAAGTGATTGTAAGTGATTGTAGAATTTGTTTTAAAAAAATAACAATAATAAAAAATAACATGCTAGTTAATGGTTTTGCACAGAGCAACCCTCCTCTTCTGCCCTAGCTCTCCTTCTGCCTTTAGATTGCCCCTGTATTAAGCGGGTTTGTATGGGGGGCACGCATACAGTCCGCACTGTGTGGTTCTATTGGTACAAACCGTGCGGCTCGGCATTGCCTCTTGATCCCTCCTCACAGGCTGTGATTGACAATGGCTCCTGCTGCTACATCTACTGAGGAGGGAGACAGAGAGCAGCACTGCTGATCTTGGGCACAGTACTGAACCTAGATTGGGCTCAGGTAGGTATACAGGGGTGCCAGGGGGGGGGGGAGCTGGTCACAAAAGGTGTTTCACCTTCTGCCTATAGTTATATTTAGCTGAGCATAGATCATTGTATACCTTACTTATAATACTTGCATGTACGGTAAATCAGACATTGTGGAACCAACTGAGCTGGGTGTACACATGAACATTTGTATGCATGCCTGTATAAGTGCAATAGCAGTTAGATTGCCCAGTTCAGCAAATCTTCTAAAACCTATAATTGATGGAATAATTATAACCAATCCTTTGCATATACTGTAAATGTAACACTATACTTGAAATTATCCAATCCAATTTTTTTTGCAAATTTTGTGTGAATAGTTTAACACAAAGTTACATCAAAAACGTATTTTGCTCCATATACACTATGACCATATTGCAACAATTGTTCCCAGTAATATTGCCACAAGGGCAGGTAGCTTGGAAAAATAATAAGGGAGTTGATTCTAAATGTAGATTGGCTACCCATCTTTATTGTTATCAGCACATGCTGTAAGTTGCTTTCGATTCTGAAAAAAAGCTGTGAGAAAGGTACAAATAGGACACCACAATGAAACATAGAAGCATAGAAAATGGAAAGTGGTACATCGAGTCTTCCCTTTTTTCTTTTTAATATGTGTTTTTGTATTTTTTTTGTTCTTTTTTTTTTCTTTAACTTTTGTTTGAGTATAGATCTATGTTTGTCATAGCATGGTTGAATCCACTTACTGTTCACTAACTCACTACCTCTGCTGGCAGTCTATTCCAAGCATCAACTACCCTTTCAGTAAAATAATACTTTTTAAGATTAGTTTTGTACTTTCTTTTTGTTAGTTTGAGGTCATGTCTCCATGTTCCTAATCTTGGTTTCATATTGAAAATACTACCCTTTTGAACTTTATTCACCCCCTTCTTTCCTCTAGACCAGGGGTCTCCAAACTGTACCCGGAGGGCCGGATGTGACCCTTTGCATCCAGTCCTTGGGGCACTATTTCTCCCACTAAGACCAACAATGGGACAGTTTTTCCCATGCAACCAATGATGGTGTACTTTCTTCCCACTAACACCAATTGTGAGGCACTACTTCTTCTCCTACTGACCAACAATCCTGAGGCCATGTTTATTCTCACTGATGCTGGGGCCAGGACATTTGCTATCCTCTCTGGCCCTAGTCTGGCCCTCTTAAAGTCTGAAGAATAGTATACTGGCCCTTTTTTTGAAAAGTTTGGAGACCCCTGTTTTAGACTGTACATATTAAGTTCCTGAAGTCTCTCTTGATATATTTTATCTAGTGCTTTTTTTCTCAGAGAATAGGTGCACAAACTTTCTTTATGAGTTATCCCTTATCTCCATCCCCTACCCACCTCCGAGCACCATCCCTTGGTTCTACCCCCTGCCCCCCTCCTAATGAGGCCTCTTTTAAAGAATACAGAACCAGGTATAACTTTTTGGTGTTATGTAATTTGTATGGAATGTTTTTAATGATAAG